CCCAAATTCTTCATTGCGTCGCCTTTAACGCCATAAGGTCACCTTTTTATTGCTCTCCATAACTTTCATATAATGTAAATGATTTTTAAACAAGAACAAGGTGTAGAGAAATGCTTGTCTTTATTTGAGGCACAATTATATATAAAAAGAAAAATAAAGTGTTTAAAGTGCTTCACTGAACTGAAATTGAACATTTCAAACTAAAACACTAAGCAAAATAAAACATTTCCAAATAAAAGAGGACCGGATTACAACTACCTGCTGCGAAATGCAGCTGGGAGGGGGCCACTTCTCACACACACTTGTCACGGCATATCGTGTGTTTTTAGACATGTTATGTTTTTTAAGGTTTCAATCGAAACGTTGTTGACCCGCTCACGAATGCACTATTTCCAGCCATATTCTGACCGCACTCCTGACAGTACACGCAGTGCATTGCGTTACGTCCTCTGTTGTACCTCAGCCAGGGAAATTGTTTCGTCCAGTCCTGTCTGAAAGAATATATTTTGACCTTTTTAATTTGGGTCTCGGAGCCGGGCTCTATCCCAGCCTCAGTTGTCTCCTCCTCTGGTTCCGAGTCTAATGCTGTCGCCGAAGGACCGGGGCTTGGCATCTCACCAGGGACCGATGGCTCCGTGTCTTAACTGGATGGACTCTCAGTAGTGGGGATGGATGGGATTATAGTAGTAGGGCTGGTTGTAGGTTTGGTTTTCTTAATGAAAAAACTTTCAATATTTCTGCCTCTCTTCATTTTCCCTCGTTTTGTCGCGTTTATTTTATTTTTCCGTTTCAGTTAATCAGCTATTCTTTCGCTCAGGTCGCGCGCAATTTTTAAACACACACAACTTAGCGCGGTGAACAGGACCACAGCCAATCAGAGGCAAAGACCCGCCCGAGCTCTGTCTCTTATTGGTTTAGAACACGATATGATCCTACCATGAGTGTGTGAGTTCGGTCACAGGAGAACACAGAGAGATGATGCGCTTGCAAAATAAATTTATGTTTTCACCCGGGCAGCGTCAGGTGCACCAGTGCGACCTAGAAAAATTATTAGTCGCACTCTTAAAAATTTTGGTCGCGTGTGCGACGAAATTGGTCACACTCTGGAGCCCTGAGATGGCCGGCGGCTTGCACTTGCTTTTGAGAGGAATCTAAATCTGGGCCGCTTTGCCATTGCCTCTGGTGCCTCTCTTCTGTCTTCTTCCTGCTCATTTTCATCAGCCTCCTCCTCCTGTATTACTGGTGACCGTGACACCATTTGAGCAATGTAATCTTCTGCTTTTCTCAGAAGCTCCTGAATTTGTTCGTCGTCATTTTCAATGAGTGTGAGTGAGACTGTTGGGTCGAGGAAGCATGCAGCAGCAGTGAGGGGTGAGAACTTTGGATCACTGGGATCAACAAAGCAGCTGAAGCATTTGTCTCCATGTTTGCCTTCATCTTATGTGACAGAGAAGCTAGGTCCCTGTAGCTCGAACCCTGGGGGAACTCAGACAGGTGAGCACTCAGGTCCAGGAGGGCAGGCACCACCAGGGATAAGGACATGGTAGCGATCTCTGAGAGCAGTCAGCCTCTGCCACTCACTCGGTAGTAGATAGTCCCAGCCCATTCCATCAGCTACCTGAAGAAGTGAGTCCTTCACTTGGACAAGGTGTGATATCATCAGGTATGTGCTGGACCATCTAGTGGGGCAGTCTTTGACCAGAGTGAGTCCATACAGCTGCAGCAGTCGCTCAATTGCCACAGACGACTTGTGGAAGAGCCTGACGAGTACTCGAGCTTTGTCAAGGAGTCGATTGACACTTACTTCTTTCTGGATCATGTTTACCATGAGTTGCAGTGTATGTACAACACAGGGGGTCCGTACCTAGATAGATAAGACAAACACAGAGAAAAGGACAGATACTTCATTAGTCCTCTAGAGGAAATTCAACTGCCATGAGCAACACAATGCAATAAACAATGTATAACACACATCTTTAATGCTAAAAGACAATAAGCATAGCTCAATGACAGACGACTGAAAATGCTAACATCTACAAACTAATAGAATGTACCTTTGTTCCTCAACAACCTCAGCGTCTTCATCACTCTCCTCGGATTCCTCCTCAGAGCTGCTGGGCTCATGTTCATCGTTTTTGAACGCTGCAACCATGTTGCTTCCATTATTGCTTCTCCTTCTGCTTGGAATAACCTATTCTGTCTTATGTTCTGAAAATGCACACAAAGTCTTTGCCTTGCATTGTTTGAAATGTTCCATTTATATCTACCGATGCTATTCTTGGCCAGGTTTCTCTTGTAAGAGATATTTTGTGTTCTCAATGAAACCAACCTGGTTAAATAAAGATAATAATAATAATAATGTTTATAATTATAATCATCATCATCAATAATAATAATATTCTGTGCAACTCTACAGCTAATTTAAAACTCATGTTCATTTTAACATATTCAATTTTAGACAACTACAAAGACGCCATTAGGCCTATGAACCAGTATCAGACCGGCTGCAACACCTACACCTAAATTACACCTTCATTACACCTAAAATGAATATAGAGTAACCTAACAAAAACAGAATAGGCTATAACCTATAACTTTCCATAAATGTAAATGTCAATTTTATATTTCCATTGAGTAGTGGTTACTGTAAATGTGCATGAATGAGGAAGACTGCAGACAACAATATAAGTTAAACAAAAATAAAAAATATCAACTGCTTACAAAAGTGTAAAAAAATTAAACTATTGACTCACAGTCACAGCAACTGTAAACATCACTCACACTGAGGTATATCAACGATATAAAAGTAAAGTGTAAATGTAAAGACTTCTAGTCTTTCTTTTCAAAGTGGAAAGTCCACACTACTGCTGCACTCCCTTGTAGTGAGGAAAATAAAGTGTTGATGTGATTTCTATAGAACAAAATATAAATAAAGAAAACCTTTGGTAAACAGGTCTTTCAGAACTGCTGCATACTTATACTTACTTATGCATACTGCATAATTTGCTGTTTGCAAAAAGGTCAAGTATTATTGGCAATCACAGGCTGCCAATAAGTTATTTATTTCATATGGCTTAATGTCAGGTTTTTTTTCAGGAATATTTGTTGGTCAACATGTTCAAGAAGAAGCAGACTGCGCTGTGCTGTCACTATGTCACCAGCTGTGATAAAGACACGTTCTGATGGGACACTTGTTGCAGGGATGGACAAGTAGCTTCTGGCCAATTTGAAAAGCAGTGGAAGATCCACCTGTTCTTTCCACCACTGCAACACATCACCATTCAGAGCTAAACAAGCCCTCCCCCTGTACTTTGCAATTTCCTCCTTATCTCTATCCCTTGTGCTCTTCTTTGGGGCTCTTGGAGTGAGGAAACCTCCAAACATCTGGTCCAAGGGTGACTTCTTTTTGGGGGGCTCTGGGAGTAGAGAAAATAGAGAAATAAAATGAAATTCTGTAGAATATTTTTACGATATCCTACCAATTTTTAAATCAACTCACTACAATATAGTTAAGTTTTAAGTTCATAACAAATAACAAAATAAAACAAACCTGTCTGTGCCTCTTCCTCCTTCTCTTCGTCGCTGTCATCCCATCTGTGGGAGCTCTGGTGGTCACCTACTGGTTCAGCTGCCGGTCTCTCATTCAGTGTGCCATTGTCATTGTGCCATAACTTTCACTGTTATGCAGATGATACGCAGTTATATCTATCAATCAAACCCAATGAAATTAATCAATTATCTAAATTACAAACATGTCTTACGGACATAAAATCCTGGATGACCTGCAATTTTCTGATGTTAAACTCAGAAAAAAACGAAATTCTTGTTCTTGGCCCCAAAAACCTTAGAGACTCATTGTCTAAAGATATAGTCACTCTAGATGGCATTAACTTGGCCTCTAGCACCACTGTCAGGAATCTTGGAGTTATCTTTGATCAGGATTTGTCATTTAACTCCCACATAAAGCAGACCTCTAGGACCACCTTCTTTCATTTACGTAATATTAGAAAAATTAGACACATCCTATCACAGACAGATGCAGAAAAACTAATCCATGCATTTGTTACTTCAAGGCTGGATTACTGCAACTCTTTATTATCAGGTTGCCCCAATAAGTCCATTAAAACGCTCCAATTAATTCAGAACGCTGCAGCACGAGTACTGACAGGAACTAGAAAAAGAGATCACATCTCTCCTGTACTAGCTTCTCTGCATTGGCTCCCTGTAAAATGTAGAATTGAATTTAAAATCCTCCTCCTCACCTATAAAGCTCTTCATGGTCAGGCCCCTTCATATCTTAAAGAGCTCATAGTACCCTATTACCCCACTAGAACACTACGTTCTCTGAATGCTGGGCTACTTGTGGTTCCTATAGTCTCTAAAAGTAGAACAGGAGCCAGAGCCTTCAGTTACCAAGCTCCTCTCCTGTGGAACCAGCTTCCAGTTGTGGTTCGGGAGGCAGACACCCTCAACACATTCAAGAGTAGGCTTAAGACAGTCCTCTTTGATAAAGCTTATAGTTAGGGCTGGATCAGGTGAGTCCTGAACCATCCCTTAGATATGCTGCTATAGGCCTAGACTATCGGGGGATTTCCCATGGTGCACTGAGCTCCTCCCTTCCTCTCTCTTTATGCACTCATTCATGTCCCATTAATGCATGTTACTAACTCCACTTCTTCCCCGGAGTTCTTGTGCTTTCTCGTCTCGCAGGTTCTCATGGATCCTGGTGGAGCCTCCTGCCATGGTCCTGCTTGACTGCCATTGCCAATACTGTTGTTGCTGTGCACCTGTCTGTCTGTCTGTCTCTCGCTCTCTTTCTCTCTGCCTCTCTCTCTCGCTCTCTCTCTCTCTGCCTCTCTCTCTCGCTCTCTCTCTCTCTCTCTCTCTCTCTCTCTACCCCAACTGGTCGAGACAGACGACCACCCACCTAGAGCCGGAGGATCTGTCCTAGGTTTCTGCCTTTTAACAGGCAGTTTTTCCTTGCCCTTGTCGCCAAGTGCTTGCTCATGGTGGTACTGTTGGGTCTCTGTAATTAATGTTAAAGAGTTCGGTCTAGACCTGCTCTATTTGAAAAGTGTCCTGAGATAACTTCTGTTATGAATTGGTGCTATACAAATAAAATTGAATTGAATTGAATTGAATTGAATTGTCCTCTGTCTGACAATAATCAGCACATATAAGCTATTAGATTTCTTTTATCAAAAAAAGATAAAAACAACAGTTAAGTAAAGCAGAGTAAATGTAAGGGTGAGAGTGAGACAAATACACTAGATACAATATACTGAGCATTTTCTTACCATTTCCTCCACTTCTGCTGTTATCCTCAGGAATATGGTGTCCCTAGAGTTGTTGTCATCCAGGAATTCCAGCTCTTTGAAGCGGGGATCAAGTGCTGAGGCTTTGTTGAGGAGGTCTTGGATATATGTGTAGCGGGTATCAAAGTCCTGTCTGAATTTCTCCTTCATCTCGAAAATGACCTGTAGATCACTGTCATTTGGCTCAAAATCCTCCCGCAGTTTGGCCAGTGTTGGGGCAATGATTGAGATGGTGGGGGTCTTTTCCCCACTGAGGCACTCAGTTGCCACTTTGAGCGGGGTCATCAGTTTGATGATCTCTGGGAGTAGGGTCAGTTCTTCATCTGTGATGCTGGGCAGGCCTTTTGTCTTTACTCTCCTGGTTGTCAGCGACAGCGTCACAGCAGGCTGCTGTTCCCAGAAACGCTCCATCATCTCCAAAGAACTGTTCCACATTGTGGAAACATCATGCACTGGTTTGTGGTGTTTCAGGTGCAACTGGGTTTGGATTTCATGCAGCGCTTCACATGCTTTGGGGCTTTTGTGGAAATAGGTCACTATCCTCCTCATTTTTACCAAGAGTGCTGACACTGTGTCCACTTGTAGTGCTTTTTGAGAGGACAAATTAAGTGTGTGTGCAATGCATCGTACATGTGGCTTCATCTCTGCAAGTGTTCCAGCCAGTAACATATTTGATGCATTATCGGTGACCAATGCAGGCTTCTTTCCTTCAATCTTCCACTCGCAGCAAACATCACGCAGTAAAGCTGCCAGATTTTCTCCTTTGTGTTCCTCATTGAACGCTCTGGTCTGGAGAACAGGGGTTTTCATGCTCCACTCATCATCAATATAGTGTGCAGTGACTATTATGTATGACTGAATAGCACAAGATGTCCAGCCATCCACTGTGATTGCAACTCGCTGTGCATTGCTCAGGGACTCAACTATCTCTCTTCTCACTTTGTTGTACAAAGCAGGGATGTGTGTGTCAGTAAAGGTCCCCCTAACTGGTATTTTGTACGTGGGGTCTAAAATATGGAGGAGTTGTCGGAAGCCCTCGTTCTCTACAACACTGTATGGCTGATTATCTTTACAGATAAAATAGGCAATGGCGCTGGTTATTTTCTGCGAGCGGGCAGAGGTAGCTGCCAGGGGAGTGTCAGAGTTAAAAAAAACTAGAGATACTTCTCTCACCAGTTTTGCTGCTGTTCGCTTTAGATTTATGTGCATCAGTATCATCTGAGGAAGAGGTGGGGGGAGCAGAAGTATCCACGCCATGCCGCCTTTTCATGTGAGTTGCCATGTGAGTCGTGCTGCTAACGTGTTTTATAGCAGAATGTTATGTTTGCAAATCGCGGATGTCTTATCAAGTTTTCCATCTTCCTTCTTAAAAAATCCAAAGTATCGCCAAACTTTGGACTTGTGTGTCTTCCATGGTATGCTGAATATATCCTCTTCACCTGTTGTGTCGCTTGCCTCCATTTTTTCTGTTTACTAACTGCGTCTGCGCCGCGCAAAAAGATAGTGAGTGCGTTCAAGGCGCCTTGAAAACACGGGTGAAGAGGAGATAAACTATGTAATAATCGATGTAACCATGGGTTTTACCGATGCAGACACGCAAAGAAAGATACATTGCGCATTTTGTCGGCAGTTGTATCCGATGCACACTGAAGCTACCGGTGCACTCGCATCGCAAACGTCTGTCTCGGACCACTGATTCAAATCGGTGAATCTCTCCATCCCTACTGCAGCAACGACCTCAGAGACACGCCGGCACACAGGATCAGTCAACGTCTCACGTGTCAGTTCCTCAACCCTGTGTGAGGAGAGGACGTCCACCACCATGACCTCGTACTCCTCCATTTCCTCAGCCTGGTCAGTCGAGGGCAGATGTGCACAGGAGAGAACATCAGCGACGTAGAGCTCCCTGCCCCTCTTGTAGATGATGTTGAGGTTGTAATGCTGCAGGCGGAGGATCATCCTTTGGATGCGTGCAGAGGCTGTGTGAAGTGGCTTTTTTAGTATGGTAATGAGTGAGTACAGCCCGTCCATATATGTAGTGATGGAATTTTGTGCAAGCATAGACAAGGGCCAGGAGCTCTTTTTCAATCTGAGCGTAGCATGATTCAGTCTCTGTGAGGGCCCTTGAAGCGAAAGCCACCGGCCTGTCGTTTTGGAGGCAGACAGCACCCAGTCCGTGCTGTGAGGCGTCAGCTGACAGTACAACAGGTTGGTGCACATCAAAGTACTGCAGCACCGGGGGACCAGCGATAAGTTCTTTGAGTTTGGTGAATGCCGCTGTGTGGAGCTCCAGCCAGCACAAGTTCACATCCTGGCACAACAGCTCGTGCAGGGGTGCTGTGGTCTCGCTGTAGTCTGGTATGAATTTGGCCAAGTAGTTGGTCATGCCTAGGAACCTTTGGAGACTGCGCTTGTCCTCCGGCGGGGGAATCAGGCGGACGGTCAAGTTCACTCACGTGTGTGTATCTGCCCCTGCGTGCAGTGGGGGGCGGAACCTGCCCTGGCCTGTTGGCGGCAAACGGTTTGCATGATCTGCAACATGTTGTTGAATGCATGTCTGTCCATAATTACGTTCTTTAATGGCAGGCATAGTTCCTCAAATTTCTTTACCAGCACGGCAGGGTCCTCGCGATCTTTGTCGTCCGCAAAATCAAACGTGTCGAGTTTATCCAGTGCCTCCGGACCGGCGAGGTTGAGAAACATGTAGGCTTTCACTTTCTTACTAGCCGTTGTTAGCCCGGCGTTGCTATAGACGTGCCATTCCCGCTTGAACTTCTCCCAGTTGTGAGCGATATCCTCGTTAAAGATGAGCGGGTCGATCGGGCAGAGTCCTTGTGCCATCTTAGATTAGATTCGGCTCACTTCTGACACCATGTAGATGTGCATAATTGAGGAAGACTGCAGAAAGTCACGGTGTAACACCCGTTAGCTTTTATTAGCCAAAAAGAACCAACAACAACCTCCCGTACCCAGCATTCCCTGCGCCCCTTGACGTCATCACGCCGTAGCAGTAACCATAGAAACTGTCAACACAGTCTACAATTACTTTTGTACAGTATATTAAAACCTTTTTTGACAATACTGGTAGGTTAAAAATACAAGGCAATGCAGATTTAAGCTTAGGCCTATATTGCTGTAGGCCTAGGCTAGGCCTAGTGATAGTTTTAGTTTTATCCTATAGTTTAGTTTATTCTATTTTATCCTACAGCAAGAACAGAAGGGATTTTGAAAATGAGATAAACAGGTCCAAAAAAACGGACTCGGGCCAGATGAGCCAGGATTTTTATGATTCCGTTGCGCGTCCGCGGCAGATGTATGTATCAATTTGTGGGTCCCAAACGGACCCGCCACGGAAGTAACGTTTTAATCGCAGATGCAGAGTAAGGGTCCGCGATCCACCTTTGTAGCGGATCCGTCACTGAGAGAAAGTGGACGCCGATACGGGTCTGTTTCGCGGGGCCATTCCGGAAGCCACCATCCGCCGCGGAGTCCTTTTGCTGTGTGGGAAGTTATAAACTAAAATAATAAAGCAGTGTCTCTGGTGGGTTCCTTGTTGCAGCTAACTGTAGTGATGTGTTGTTGAAACAGTCTGAGGTTACCAACACAATGTCTATCTAATGGCAGCAGATACACACACAGGACATTTACTGACTGTAACTGATGTTGGGACAAGTTCTCGGTGCAATAACAGACATTTAGCAGTGAGCCTCAGTATTGTTTATTATACAATAGGAGATGATACTAGTATGTTACACTGGACCTGCCCTTATATCTACAGTAATACCAGTACTGCAGTAACGCTAAATAAATGGATCAGAAAACTTTTATTAGTCGGTTTGACTCCACAAAACAGCCTAGTGAGCATCGAAGTTACACAATATTACTAAACTAATGAATCCCTGCAGTTTGACTATTTCTCTCTCACAGTAGCTCTATCGTTAACTCCGGTGCACGTAGATCAAGTTAATTTACACACCGTAACACACACACACCGTAACACACACACACACACACACACACCGAAGCTAGCCCCAGCTTGTTAGCACGTAAGGAAGTTACACAAACAGAAAATAATCAGCATAACTCACTCCCGGTATTTTGGTAGCTTCTAACGAGGGTTAACGATCACAGTATTACAACATAAAGTCCGACAGACTCAGTAACTATAGCAACACAGTGACATCACAGAGCTGCTGTGTGCTAATCAAAGCTACAATCCTACCAAACTAATGACCTCCGCTGCTGAACTACACACAGTACAGTGTCTTCTTCTGATCACAGCTGTATTGATCCACACGGTACACAGCTACTGAGCTACCCAGCAGATATGTAAGTTACCAGGTTAAAGACAATTAAACCTAACTGACGTTATCTTCCCTGTTCTACAAAATACCGACGGACATAAAGCCAATTCCCCCCCGGCACGAAGCTTGGTGATTCACGGCATAAACTTTGTGTGAATCTCTTTAAAAAATATCAGCAGGGGAGAATATGGAGACATCTGCACCAGCTGGCTTACAGTTTTTCTCGATTGTTTACACACATTATCTGTAAGCATGCCTCATACTCTCAGAACTCTACACACAAATCACAACACACACACACACACACACACACACACAATGGGCAAAACCCCTCAATTCTCCTGCAAAATGAAACTTTACATTCAAAACAATGTTATTTTTTCTCAAAATGGTATTTTGTTTTCAAATGACACACTCAAACCATCATATGAATAGACAT